CCGCCCCTCATTGGGCGAGCGCGCTGTCAATTACAGGGAGACCCCGCCCACACCGCCGGCTGGGGGCGGGACCCTGTGGGCTCAGATCGACAGCGAAGGCAGCCAATAGAAAAGCGAGATGCTGTAAAGAGGCGGGACACGGGCGGGCCGGCAGGAGCTATTCTGGCTGGCTGTGGGCAGTGACTGACAGCTCAGAGAGCCAATGGGAGTGGGAGTAGTCTGAAGAGGCGGGGACTGAGAGGAAGCCACGCCCCCTGGAAGCGTTGGGGCCGGGGGAGCTTCGGGGGTGTCACCAAAGCGGGGGGGACAGGAAGGGGACACAAAGGGAACCCCCCAAAACCCCCGGGGGGCTTCTGGAATCCCCAGGAGGGCAATTCCCGGGAAAACCGCTAAAACCCGGGGTTTTCATCCAGGGAAAATCGGTGAAAAGAGGGGATTTTATCCAAGGAAATCCAGCCTGAACGGATTTGAGGATAAAGAACCCCATACATTCCACAGAGCAGGAAAAAAAGGACAAACTAACTCCAATTTTAGACAAAATTCCCTCTTTTAACTCCTTTTCCTGCCACAAATTCTCCCCTCCCATTTTCCTTTTTCCCTTCTATTCCCTGTCCCCCTTTTTCTTTTTTTCCCCTTTCCCCCCTTTCCTCCTTTTTTCCCTTTTCCCTCCTTTTTTCTTCCTTTTTCGTTCCCCCCTTCTTTTTCACCTTTTCCCTTCTTTTTTGCCAACTCCCTTTTCCATTTATCTTTTCCAGCTCTCCCACCTTTTTTTTTTTACTTTTTCCCACTTTCCCTCTTTTTTTTTTTAAAAAAAAAAACAAACCCAAAACTTTCACGATTATTTTTTAACTCCCACCACCCGCATTTAATTTTTCACCATTTCCCTCTTCCCGCGGAGCCTCTCCGGGATCCCCGGGGATTTCCAGCGGCACCGGGATGCGCACCGGGCGGATCCGCGGCGTCCCCTCTCCCGACTGCGATACGAACGGGAAGAACTTTCCCGAATGATCCTCCCCGGCCTCCAGCGGCATCCCCGCCAGCAGATCCATCCGCTCCACGTCGTAGAATTCCAGCTGTCGCTTTTCCAGCTGCAGGAAGACGCCGAGCGCGGCGAGGCCGGGGCGCTGCTCCCGGCCCAGCTCCACCTCCCAGTATCCGGATCCCAGCGAGTCCCGCGCCACCAGAACCGGGAGCGGGAGCGGATCCTGCGCGTCCCCGAGGTCCAGGGGCCGCGGCTCGGGATCCAGCGCCACGGGAACTGCGGGGAGCGGGAAGGGTCCGTGAGGGATTGGGATATTCCCGGGGACTGCAGGGGATGCGGCCGCTGAGGAACTGAGGGGCTGCGGAATCCCTGAGTCCCAGAACCCGCAAATTTCGGAATCCCTGAATGGCCAAATCCCAGAAACCCTGAATCCCAAAATCACAGAAACCCTGAATCCCCAAATCCACAAATCCCAGAAACCCTGAATCCCAAAATCACAGAAACCCTGAATCCCCAAATCCCCGAAACCCTGAATCCCAAAATCACAGAAACCCTGAATCCCCAAATCCACAAATCACAGAAACCCTGAATCCTGGAAACCCCAAATCCCAGAAACTCTGAATCTTGGAATCCCCAAAATCCCCAAATCACAGAAACCCCAAATCCCAGAATCCACAAACCTTTGAATTCCTGGATATCAACATCCCCAAATCACAAAACCCCCAAATCCTGGAATCCCAGTATCCCAAGATCCACAATCCCAGAAACCCCGAACCCCAAAATCTGCAATCCCCAAGAAATCCTTGAATCCTGGAATCCCCAAATCCCCAAATCATAGATCCCTCGAATCCTGGAATTCCCAAATCCCAGAAACCCTGAATCCTGGAATCCCCAAATCCCAGAAACCCTGAATCCAGGAATCCCCAAATCCCCAAATCCCAGGAAGCCTGAATCTTGGAATCCCCAAATCCCAGAATCTCTGAATCCCAAAATCCTGGAATCCCAAAATCCCAGAAACCCTGAATCCAGGAATCCCCAAATCCCCACATCCCAGAATCCCCAAATCCCAGAAACCCTGAATCCCAAAATTCTGGAATCCCCAAATCCCAGAAACCCCAAATCCTGAAATCCCCAAATCCCAGAATCTCTGAATCCTGGAATCCCCAAATCCCAAATCCCCAGGTCCCAGAATCTCTGAATCCTGGAATCCCCAAATCCCAGAATCTCTGAATCCTGGAATCCTGGAATCCCCAAATCCCCAAATCCCAGAATCTCTGAATCCTGGAATCCCCAAATCCCAGAATCTCTGAATCCTGGAATCCCCAAATCCCAGAAACCTCAAATCCCGAAATCCCCAAATCCCAGAATCTCTGAATCCTGGAATCCCCGAATCCCAAATCCCCAAATCCCAGAATCTCTGAATCCTGGAATCCCCAAATCCCAGAATCTCTGAATCCTGGAATCCCCAAATCCCAGAATCTCTGAATCCTGGAATCCTGGAATCCCCAAATCCCAAATCCCCAAGTCCCAGAATCTCTGAATCCTGGAATCCCCAAATCCCAGAAACCCTGAATCCTGGAATCCCCGAATCCCAGAATCTCTGAATCCTGGAATCCCCAAATCCCAGAAACCCTGAATCCTGGAATCCCCAAATCCCCAAATCCCAGAATCTCTGAATCCTGGAATCCCCAAATCCCAGAATCTCTGAATCCTGGAATCCTGGAATCCTGGAATCCTGGAATTCCCAAATCCCAGAAACCCTGAATCCTGGAATCCTGGAATCCCCAAATCCCAGAATCTCTGAATCCTGGAATCCCCAAATCCCAGAATCTCTGAATCCTGGAATCCCCGAATCCCCAAATCCCAAAAACCCTGAATCCTGGAATCCCCGAATCCCCAAATCCCAGAGTGGGCGATGTCCTAGGGTGGTTCAACAAGGAATTCAAACATTCCACAGAATATGGGATGTGGCCACTGAGGATCCAAGGGGCCACCGAATTCCTGAGACCCCAAATCCCCGAATCCCTGAATTTCCAAATCCCAAAATCCCAGAGCTCCAGCTCCTTCCAGCTCACCTGCGTGGCTCCGCACTTCCCAGAAATCTACGAGAAGAAGGGAAAAAAAGGGAATTCTCCTTTTATAGAGGAATTCCATACTTCCCCCTCCCCCAGAATTCCAACTTAATCCCCACCAAATCCCAGGAATTTGGATATTCCGGCGGTTTTCCAAGCTTACCCAGCTCGGCTTTCAGCTGACCTGAAAGGGAAGGTTATTCCCGTCAGTTTTGTTGGATTTTCCTGTTCCACCCATCCCGGTTTTTCCCGTCAGAACAACCCCCGAGTTTGGAACAGGAGGAAATTCCTCTCCCTGGCTTAATTAGCTCCGAATTCCAGGGAAAACGTGGGTAATAACCAGGATTCCCGTTATATCTTGAATAAACTTTGGGGGGAAATGCGGATTTACGGAATTAATTACCGAAGCGTTTCTTGAACTGGATTTTTGCTGGAAAGAAAAAGCGAGGAATGAGCGATGATAAAAATTCCATGGAAAAATGAAAATATCAGCGGGAATGGCATTGGGGAAAAAAAGGGGGGAAAGGAGAAAAGGGGGGAAAAAAAAGGGGGAGGGAAAATTGGGGAAAAAAATTCCGAAATTTCAAGAAAATGGGATTTACCTTCTCGTTTCTTGGCTTTTTCTCCATCTGGGAATTCCAGACGTGGAATCAAAGGGATAAGAGGGAGAAATATTAATTTATTAATTTATTAATATTTAATAATGTTCATTTATATTTATTATTAATGTTGTTTGTAGACTCCTGTCCATAGGGAAAGGGGAGAAAGGGGAAAAAAGGGGGAAAAAGGGGGAAAAAGGGGAAAAACGGGGAAAAAAGGGGTAAAAAGGGGAAAAAAGGTGGGGAAAAAAGGGAAGAAAAGGTGGAAAAAGGAAAAAAAGGGAAAAAGAAAAAGGGAAAGACTCACCCAGCACCGACTTCACTTTCTTTTTCTCTGGAAGAGAAAATGTGGAATTTTGACCCGCAAAAATGCCAATTCAGGAACCTCGATCACACTGGAAGTTCATTTTTTGATTATTTGGAATATTCAATCCATGGAAGTATTGAAATCTTTGAAATTCATTTATTTAATAGATGAGGTTTATGCAATTCAGTGATTATTATTTTTAATAATAAGATTTTATATTTTTAATATTTTAATTGTTTTTACATTTAAACTTAAAAACATTTGCAAAAAATCAACCCCATAAAAGTAGATTTTATCACTTTTTAATGGTAAAAAATTAGAAATGACTTAAAAATTCTAACTGCAAAATATTGGTAATTTAAAAAAAATTTAATTAGGACGTATTTAAAGTTTTCAATTGATTAAAAAATACAAAAATTAAATCAAATTAAATCAAATTTAAAAAAATTAGCAACTCAATCAAAAACATAAATGGAAGAAAACAAATTTTAGAATTTTTAAATTGTAAAAGATTTTGTAACTACAGCAAAAAATAATTTCAAATACAGAGGATTTTTACCTTCCTCCAATTCCAGATTTGCCTTTCCTGGAAAATCGAGAAAACTTTAAATTATTTAATTCTGTAAGATTTTTAAACTAATATTATTTAACTATTTATGGTTATATTTATATTAAATTAATTTTGTATTTATATTTAATTATTATCTAATATTTAATACTTGATATTGTTGCCTTAAGTATTCAATCGATGTTTCATTAACTATTAAATATTAATATATTTAATGTCTTTAATTAGCTTTTATTTAAATTAATTTGGAAATGAATAGATTTAATATTTTCAATATTTTATAGTGTTTTCTACTTCTATATCTAGTTTAGTAATATTTAATAAAATATCATATATGTTATTTTCTAGTTAATTTTTTTATTAATACATACAATGTTTTGCATTTAATGTTTTATCTTTTGAAATTTAATGACTCATAATTTTTATTTTACGTTGTGAGAGTGATAATAAATAATAAATAATAAAATTAAAAATTAATATAATAATTAAAAGTAATAATTAAAGTATAAAAATACATAGCAATGATGCCATTAGGGATCATTAATTAATAATTAGTTTCCTCACCTGCATTCACAGTTCTCTTGTGGCTTGCTGGGTAAAAATAAAAATAAAAAGGAAAAATAAAATAAAAATAAAATAAAAACAAAATTCCATTTTTCCTCATGTTTGGGATGGGAAATTTGGTTTCTTTTCCCAGGTTTGGTTGTTCACTGAAACGAGCCGGTTTTTCCCTGGATTCCGGTGAGATTTGGGATTTTCCCACAGGAGCCGGAACTCACCCTGGAGCAGGCAGAAAACGACGGAAATCAGGGCCAAGTTCAGGAACAAAACCACCAGGAAAATCTGCAGCCACCGGGAGATGGAGGGGAAGAAACTGTCTGGGAAAAACAGAGGAAAAAATTCAGGTTATTTATTTAATTAATAAAATTCAGGTTATTTATTTAATTAATTATTGATTATTGATTATTGATTATTGATTATTAATTAGTAATTAGTAATTATTAAGTATCAAGTATCAAGTATCAAGTATCAAGTATCAAGCATCTATTATTTATTATTTATTATTACGAGTATTGATTATAATTAGTAATTAGTTGGTTTGATAATTAGCACAAATTATTAATAATAATTAATAATTAATAATGAATAATTAATAATAAATCATTAATTATAATTAACACTTAATAATTAATAACTAATAATTAATAATTAATGATTGATGATTAATCATTATTAATTATTAATCCTTAATTATAAAGTATCAAGTATCTATTATTTATTATTTATTATTACGAGTATTGATTATAATTAGTAATTAGTAATTAGTAGGTTTGATAATTAGCACGAATAATCAATAATTAATAATTAATAATTAATAATTAATAATTAATAATTAATAATTAATAATTAATAATTAATAATAATTATTATTTAATAGTTAATAATTGATAATTAATAATTGATAATCAATAATTAATGTATATATTTATATTCTATTAATTGAAGGCCTAAATTTAATTTACAATTCTATCATTTAAGGTCTAAATATTAAAATAGTTATTCATTAATTTATTAATTATTTAGGGCTATTATTTGCCATTAATCATTAAATGTACAATTAATGATATAATTATAAAAAATTAATAAATATTATATTAATGATTTAAGGCCTAGATATTAAAATACTTATTCCATGTTTTATTAATGATTTAAGGCTTTAATTCCCGTTAATTATTAAATATAAAATTAATGATTTAAGTATTAAATATTTTATTAAGGATTAAATATTATCTCAGTTATTTAAGGTTTGAATTTCCCATGAACTATTAATTATTCTGATAACGATTTAATAATTAATTTTTCCATTAAGGGTTAAATAATTTACTAATTATTTAAGGATTCAATTTTCCATTAGCTTTTACATGATCTATTAAGGATTTATATAGTAAATATTCCATTAAGGATTAAATATTCGATTAATAAGTTAAGAATTAAATAATTGATTAAGGATTAACTATTGCATTAATTTAAAAAACAGAAATATTTATTAATTTTTATTAATTAATATTTAAAACTTTTAATTAATAAATATTCTAATAATGTTTTAAGGATTATGTATTCCAGTCAGCTATTGTACTAATTAATTAGTAAATGATTAACTAATTAATTAATGTTTTGGATTTCCATAAATTAATAAATATTCTAATAATGATTTCATGATTAAGCATTTGATTAAGGCAAATTCTGCTAATAAATAAAATGTAAAAATAAAATATGAAGGTATAAGTAGATACAAAAATAAAAATAAAACTAGAAAATAAAATAGAAATATCAAAAAAATTAAATTAAAATAAAATCAAATTTAGGATTTCAACAAGAGCCGGTCATTTGCAAAGATGAAATAGAATAAACTCAACCAATCAATAAATAAGAATCAAAAAAGTTAAAGACTTCCAACCTTTTGCATCCAACTAACCAATGAGCAAAAATCAAATTCAATCAGTTAGTCAACGATAATCAATAAAACTAAAGATTTTCAAAAGGATTGTTAATTAGAAAGAATTAAATTAAAACAATCAAGCAATCAGTGGTAATCAATAAAATGAGTGACTCCGAACCATTTGAATTCAACTGAAGCTGCTCTTTAGCAAAAAATTAAATCAAATAAATCAATTATCAAATGCTAATCCATAAAATTAGTGATTCCAACCCTTCAGATGCAACTGGAGAGGCTAATTACAAAAATCAAATTCAATTAGTCAATCAATCGTTAAATGATAACAAATGAAATTAAAGGCTTTGATGAGAGCTGTTAATTAGCAAAACCAAAATAGAATAAAAGAAAATAAATTTTAAATTTAATTAAATTGAACTAAATTAAATTAAATTAAATGGAGTTAAATTAAATTGAATTAAATTAAATTAAAACATCAATAAATGATAATCAATAAAAGACCTTGGTAAGAGCTGTTAATTACCAAACCAAAATAATACAAAATAAATTTTAAATTAAATAAAATTAAATTAAATTTAAAAATCCAATATACGCTAAGCAATAAAATTAAAGCCTTCCGACCCTTTTCACTCAACTAATTAGGAAAAATCAAATTAAAGCAGGATCAGAGCCGACCCTTTTCACTCAACTAATTAGGAAAAATTAAATTAAAGCAGGAGCAGAGCAGCTGCCGCAGTAATTTTTCCCGGGAATCGTTTCCCACCATGGATGCGGATCCGGGACTCGCGGGAGGCGTTGAGCCGGCGGTTGAGGACCCGGCAGGAGATCTCCAGGTCGGATCCCTGCTGGATCCTCATGGAAGCCTCGACGCTGAAGAGTCCCCCAGGCATCACCTCGGCCGTGGTGGTCATCGGCTCCGGCCGGACCTCGCCACGTCCGTCCAGCCAGAGCAGCTGCGGCCGCGGGAACCACCCGGAGGCACGGCAGGAAACGCCCAGGCTCTGCTTCCTGGGGCTCCGCAGGAGCACGGATGGAGATTCTCCAATGGCTGTGGAAAAACAGGAATTTTCCATTTTAATCCTAACGTTAAAATCGGGGTTTTTTTGGAAATCAACGATTCCGTTCGGTGAGGAGTTGCTGCCAATGGATCATGGATGGAACCTCTCCAGTGGCTGTGGAAAAACAGGAATTTTCCATTTTAATCCCGTTAAATTTGGGCTTTTTGGAACTCAACATTTCTGTTCATTGAGCAGTTGCCGCCAAAGGATCACGAATGGAGATTCTCCAGTGGCTGTGGAAAACCAGGAATTTTCAGGTTTAATCCTAATGTTAAATCGGGTTTTTTTGGAAATCAGCGATTTTGTTCGTTGAGGAGTTGCCGTCAAAGGATGATGGATGGAACTCTCCAATGGCTGTGGAAAAACAGAGGAATTTTCCATTTCAATCCCATTAAATTTGGACTTTTTGGAACTCAACAATTCCATTCATTGAGGACTTGCTGCCGCAGGATCATGGATGGAACCTCTCCAATGGCTGTGGAAAAACAGGAATTTTCAGGTTTAATCCTAACGTTAAAATCGGGGGTTTTTTTTGAAATCAACAATTCCGTTCGTTGAGGAGTTGCCGCCAAAGGATGATGGATGGAACTCTCCAATGGCTGTGGAAAAACAAAGGATTTTTCCATTTCAAACCCATTAAATTTGGGCTTTTTGGAACTCAACAATTCTGTTCATTGAGGAGTTGCTGCCAAAGGATCATGGATGGAACTCTCCAATGGCTGTGGAAAAACAGTATTTTTCCATTTCAAACCCCTTAAATCTGGGCTTTCTGGAACTCACTGATTCCGTTCATTGAGGAGTTGCCGCCAAAGGATCATGGATGGAACCTCTCCAAGGGCTGTGGAAAAATGGGAAAATTTTCCCTTTTATTCCTGTTAAATTGTGATTTTTGCAATTCAACAGTTCTGTTCACCGAGGACCTGCCCAGGTCTAATTTCTGGGGGCTCTGCAGGATCATGGACGGTGCCAATGGCTGTGGAAAAACAGAAGGATTTCCATTTTAATTCCTTTAAATTTGGGTTTTCTGGAACGGAAGGGTCCCGTTCATTGAGGTGCTGTCACCACACGATCACGGATGTGATCGTCTGTGGAGAGCCGGAGGAATTTTCCATTTCAATCCAGTTAAATTTGGGTTTTCTGGAACTCAGTGATTCTATTCATCGAGGAGTTGCCACCAAAGGATGATGGACGGAACCTCAGTGGAAAAGAAGAGGAATTTTCCACTTTAATTCCATTAAATTTGGGTTTTCTGGAAACCGACTGTTCTGTTCATTGAGGAGTTGCCGTTGTGGGATCAAAGACGGAGGTTCTGTAACAGCTGTGGAAAACCAGGAATTTTCCATTTCAATTCTATTCAATTGGGCTTTTCTGGAACTCAGTTTTTTTGCCCAGGAGTTGGAAAATCTCAGAGGAATTTCCAGGATTTGATCCATGGGGTCTGGAGGTTCTCAGCGATCGATGGATCCAAGAATGTCCTTGGGAATGAAGGATTTAATGGAGAATCTGGAAACGGGTGGAGGGGTGGGGGCAGTTCTGGGATGGATTTGGGACTGGAATTTCCCAGGATTTTGGGGAATGTGTGAAATATAAAAGTTGTAGAAACAAATACATAAAATGTAAAAGTATGAAAGATAAAAATACAGCTATAAACCATGATATATAGACCTATAAACACAGATATATATTAATGTAAAAAAGAATATACTACTTATATTTATTTTCTTATAGATTATATATATGATATATAACATATACTGTAATATATTTATAAATCCATTAATATATAAATATAATTATCTTATAATATAATAAATATAAATTAAAATTAATATAATTATTTATATAAAATATAAACACTATAAATAATATTAATATAAAACCTATATAATTAATATAAATATTAACATAAAATATAATAATAATTAATATAAAATCAATAATATATAGTTAATATAAAATTTATAAATACATTTATAAATGCATTAATTAATATATGAGTAATATATTAATAAATGAATTAATATTTATAAATGCATTAATACAAGTACACTATAGATCATATAATATAATATCATATATCATACCTTATATAATATCATTTTATAATATATTAATATATTTAATATAATAATACAATTAATTTCATATAATTTTGTAATATAAAAGTCAATGATAATATATCATTATATAATTATATAATATGTAAAGAATTAATTTATTTAATAAAATTTATATATATATATAAATACATATATATATATTTATATATATTATTATATATATATTATATTGAGAGACGGACAGCTTTTTCACCACTCTTCATAGAAGTAAAAGTGAATGCTGTTTATTTCTATTTTTAGCACGCTTTTATAGGGTTCTACAGGCTCTGCGAGCTAATGCAAGTTACCATTGGCTAATACACACAGGTTTACATTCTTTCTCTTATACACAAGGATATTGTTTTTCTTTACTCTCTCTTCTGCAGGAAGGTTTCAAGGACTTCAGCTTTTAATATCACGACCTATTTCAAAGACTGGTTTGTGCAGACAGGCCTATACTGTATATATATATATATATATAAAATATATAATATATATATAAATATATTTTATATATAAAATATATAAAATATATTTATTTTATAAATATAGATAAAATTATATAAATGTAATATATAATTATATATTATATTTATATAATAAAATACAATAATATTTATTATTATATAAAGATGTAAATTATATCAACATTTATATAATGTGTTTATATATATTTATATATTTATATATTATATCTTATATAAATATCAATACATTAATAGATATTAATATACAATTTATAAATATTATAATAATAATTAATAATATATAATTATAAAAATAATAATATATTAATATTCATATTATACAACGTGTGTTATACATGTGATATACAACATGTAAGACGTTGAATATAAATACTACAAAAAAATATAAAAATAAAAATCAATGATTAAAAAATATAAATTATTGCATGTAAAATATGAAACAAATTCTTTTTATATTATTTAATTAATAACCGTAAAAGGAAAAAAAAAAAAGTTAAAATGCTTAACAATATTTTGAATATTCACCCAGTTTTGTGCAGTGAAGGAAAAAGAGGGAATAGCACCAACCTGCCACTTCCAGCTCCATCAAGACTTCCTGGGACACATCCTGGAATGACACCTCGCAGCTGTAGGATCCCTGGTCGGAGCTCCGGACGTCCCTCAGGAGCAGGGACACGTTCCCAGCTCGGAATTCCCCGTGGAAAAATTCCGTCCGGCCCCAGTATCGCTCGCTGGGCTCCTCTCTCCGGCCCTTTCCGCTGTAGCTGCTCACGGGGATCCGCTGGGATTGGCCGCGGAATGTCCAGCGGACGGAGAAATCCTCGGGAATTGGTGTGGATCTCACCTGGCAGGGCAGGACCACCCTATCCCCGATGATTCCAAGGATGCGAGTTTTGGGAGGGCCAAGGAATCCACCTGTTTCAGGGTAAAATGGGGCTTGGTTCTGGTTTTCTGCGATGTGTTTTCCGTGGAATTTCATCGGGACCTGGATCCTCAACAGGAGAGGAGTCCACAGGAAAACAAAAAGAATGGGGATGTGGTGCTTGTGGGTTTATCCTTTGACATTTTGAACAATAATTCAATTTCTTGGCTGTTAAAGCATTGGGAAAGCCTGGGAAAAAATAGATGGAAACAGCAAATTCTATCCAAAATAGAAGCTTCAAACCTGGGATTTACCTCCAGAAAATTCCAGGTGGGAACTGCCTGCCCCAGGAAGGTTTGGAATGTCCCAGGGTGTAGAATTCATCCCTACATGGCCAGATGTGGAAGCTCTCAGATTCCCAAGGATACACGAGGTGTTCCTTGGACATCCCCATTCCCAGAGGCTCTCCCGGCACAGGATTGGGATGCGGGTGATAAAATCATGGAATACCCTGAGCTGGAAGAGGATCCAAGTCCAACCCCTGGACAATCCCAACAATCCCTGGGAACGTTGTCCCAGTGCTCCGTGAGCTCCGGAATGCCAGCTGCTCCACCCTCTGGAAAAGGAACCTTTTCCAAGTTGAATCCCACATCCTCTTTAGGTTTTAATTCATGTTTCGGAGCAGGAATTGGCCATTTCATGGGAACAGATCCCACATGGAATTGCCCTCACCTGCAGCCAGGACTGGGAGCAGCACCAGCCACCAGAGCCGGGAATCCATGGACAATCCCGTGAGAGTCCCTCGGGCTCTTCCAGGTGGGAAACAAGGAAAGAAGGGAGAGAGGAAAACTCAGAGAGAAACATCCAGTGAAATCCCATGGAAAATGGGATTTTCCTTCCCGCGGATCCCCATGCCATTTAAATCCATCCATTAAATCCTTCCATGGTTTTAAAGAGATTTCCAGAGATTCCTCATTCCCCGTCACTGAGGAATTCCAAGCGTTTCGTGGGATCTTTGGAGGTTATTTTGGTATCAGACTTTGGTGGGGTTTTGATGTTATTTTGATATCAGATTCTGATATCGTATTTTTATATTGGATTTTGGGATTATATTTAAACATTAATTTTAAAAGTGTATTTTGACATTATATTTCGATTAAATTTTTAATATTATACATTAAAATTATATAAAATTATTAATATTATAACATTAATTTGATAATGTATTATATTCATATATAATATTTCAACATTATATTTTTATATAATGGTTTGATACAATATTTTTATAACATTATAACGTTTTTATTAAATGAATTTAATATTGTTTTATTATATTTGGATATTATATTTAGATATTCATATATTTTGATATGTATTTATAACATGCATTTTATTAAATTATAAATATCATAATTCTATTTGGATATATTTAAATATTTTCTCTTTTAATTAGATTTTAATGTTATGTTTTAATATATTTTAATACCATATCTTACATGTTTAAATTGTATTCAATTATAAAAGATATAATATTAAGATCAAAATAGTGTATTTTAATATTATATTGTTTTATTTTAATATTAAATTTTAACATTGTACTTTGATACCATATTTTATATGGTAACATATTCAATCATGAATATTATAATGTTAATTTAGAATTGTATCATATTTTGATAATATACTTTAATATTGTACTTTGAGTTAATATTTTAATTTTATATTTTCCTCTTAATAGAATAATAAATTCTTATTGAATTTTTTGGATATTATATTTTAATTTTGTATTTTAACATTGTATTTTGATACCACATTTTATATTATAACTATATTATTTTAAGAATATTATATTAATACTGTATTATTGTATTATTGTATTTGCTATTATATTTTGATGCCATCTTTTATAATACACCTCCACATTCCATTCAAGTATTAATATTGTAGTATTAATTTAATCTAATATTATTATATTTGGATATTACATTTCAATGTTGTATTTTGATATATTTTAATGTTATATTTTAATACTATGATTTGGCATATTTTAATCTTCAATAATTGATTTTGCTATTACATTTTGCTATTAGATTTTATATAAGCTTTTTCTAATGCTTTGAGGTTTTATTCTGATATTATTTTGGTATCATACTTTAATATTATATTTCAATACAATATTCTTATATATTTTAAATACTCTATTTCTAAAGTTATATTTCAAGATTATTTTTAATATTCTATTTTAGGACTATATTTTTATATTATATTAAGTTTTATATTCTCATGCTGTATTTCGGGATGATATTTGATATTATATTTTAACACTTTATTTTGATATATTTTGATGTATTTGGATTATATTTTGATATTATAATTTAACATTGTGTTTTGTAATTGTATTTTGTTATTTTGATATATATTTTTTAAAAAAATTTATTTAAAAGAAATTTTAAAAGAAATAAATGATATTTAAAAGAAGTATTTAAAAGAAATAAATTATATATATTATTATTTTATTAGAATTACTGTATTTATTATATAAGAAAATAATGTATGTATAACTATATAATAATATTTATTTAATAATTAATATACAATATAATTATTATACTTTAATAGTTAATAATAATTTATAATAATTAGTTGGTTTATAGTGTAATAATACGTAATGTAATAATTATATTTATATATATATATTTAACTATAATGATATGACATATATTTTATCATAATAAATATAATAATTTAATTTTATATTTCAATATAATATTTTGATATATAATTTTATATGGTAAAAAATTCCAACAACCAACAGATTCCCAGGAGCAGCAGGATCTTGAGCCTGCTGTGTTAAAGGGAATTCCGTGATTTTATGGATCTGGCTCTGAGGATTTCCTGCTCTGGGTGAATATAAATGATCAAATTGATCAGCAAACTGGGATTTAATTGAGATTTAATCTCGGTTTCCTAGGATTTCCTGTGTTTTCCTCCATGTCTCAAATCAGAGATAATCCCTTGGGAGAGGAATTCCCACAAGGAAAGTCTGGTTAAGCCCAGCATTCCTCCCAAACCATGAAAACAATTAATCTATTCCTGCTAAACTAATTTATCCCAGTTCAATTAATTAATCCTGGTTAATCCAGGGATATTTATTTTCCCAACGGGGAATTCCGTACCTGAGCAGGGAAGGACCCAACGGCTCCCTCGGGAATGGGGTTGGGATCAACCTTTGTCCTCGGATTTATGGTCGCTGGAAGCCGAGATTTGCGTTTTCCAGAGGGGGTTGGAGCTCGGGAAAAACATCAGGAAAATCCCATCCCGCTTCCTGAGTCATCTTCCATCGAGCTGTTCCTCCTCATCCTCCCGTGGGAAAACATTCCCTGTTCCACCAGGGTTTAGTGGGAAAAAGGGTTCCACGGACCAAAAATTCGGGGGAAAAAAGGGAAATCCCAGTGGTGGGAAAAAATCATGTTCAGTTTGGGATTTCTTTTTCCCTAGGAATGGTGTTGGGTGGGTTTTTTTTGGGCAGGGTTATCCTGGTTTTCTTCCTTTTTGTCATGGAAATTCCAAGCTTAGTTTGGGATTATTCTGTTTATTTTTGGAGTGGGAGGAGGTGGTTGAGTTTTTGGGGCAAAGCTTTTCCTGGTTTTGTAATGGAAAATTTTTTGATGGCAATTTGTTGATTAATTAAATCATGATATCTATTTTAAAAAAGTTATAAGATGCAATAAAAAATATATATATAAAAATATATAAATAATATATATATATAATATAAATATAAATATATAATAAAAATATAAATAATAAAAATAAAATATATATAATGCAATAAAATGCAATAAAACAAAATAAATATAAATAAATAAAAATAAAAATAAAACAAATAAAAATTCCTTGATTTATCTTGAAAAAAGGGGAAGGAAAAGATTCCACACCTGGAAGAAATTCCTCCCTGTGATGTCGCTCCGATTGGGAACGGCTAGGAAGGAATGACCATGGACTCTCAAGGGAGTCACGACAGGAGAATTCCTAGTTTATTGCTTCAGCCCTGTCTTATAGACAGATACGTGGAAAAGTACAGAAAGGAAACTCTTATTGGTTAACAAAGTACTACACCACCATCATTGGTCAGGGGCACTCTGCCCCCCTTGACTGTCTCTTGCAAGGAGAAACAACAGGTTGCAAAACAACACCTGCAAGGCTGTTTTAGTATCTCTGAGAATTGTTTTAATTCCTTCTCATGAATTTCCCAGGCTAGGCTTCAGTCAGGCCTGAGAGCTATGTGGCCTGCAATAACTACAGGCACTCTGGTTCAGATTTAGCATCCACACTGTGAGGGTGGTGAGGCCAAGGCACAGTTTTCCCAGAAAAGTTTTTGGATTATGTTTGGAATATTTTTTGGAATATGTTTGGAATATTTTTTGGAATATGTTTGGAATATTTTTTGGAATATGTTTGGAATATTTTTGAGGAAAAACCCCACAATCAGGAAACAGGTGGCTTCAATCCTCCACCCCGAGCCAGAACTCAGTATTCCATTAATCCCATGGATTTATAGGATGGTGTCCAGCGTGGAGGAAATATCCAGGAGAAAGCAGT